GGGGAATTCTGGGAGTTGAAGTCCACACATCTTCAAGTTGCCAGGGTTGAGGAACCCTGGTGTAATAGATAAGACAACAGACTAGAAACCAGGAGACCCTGAGTTTTAGTCCTCCTTTAGCCACAAAGCCAGCTGAGGGACCTTGGGCCAGTTATTCCCAAGTATAAAGAATTTGGCTATGATTGAATTGAAATCCCATACCAAAGTCTTTCTGGGCTGGAGATTATGGGAGCTGATCTCCTATGTCTCCAGAGAATGTCAGTGTAGGGAAGGCTGCCCAGAAAATAAATCTGTAATTCAGGAGTCATCTGCCCACAAACCCTTACCATCTGGCTGTTGTGGAGCGGCACCACAGTTCAGCCTCATAACTATGGGTGCAAAGGCCATTTTTCCTTCCACGCAGTGCTTCCGAACAGAGTCAATGAACCCTGCTGGGAAATGGATGTGCAGATCACAAAGAAAAATGATGCTGTGAGAATCCTGTAGGCAAAGATACAGAGCTGTTAATCCTGTTACTTTATAACTCATTGGGTTGGTCTCCACAGCTTCCTTGCCCCCACATCTGAGGTGGCTGCTTACCTTTTACAGAAGACAAATCCTCACGCTGGTGCCACCGTCTTGTCACCAGCCTGCTGCTAAGGCAGGCTGAAGCCAGATCAAGGTGATCCAGCAGGAAAGTGGTGGTTTCCACCAGAAAACACAATAAAATATTCTGTGTTGCATGAAGGAAGAACCAGAGGGAGGCTGGTGACCTGAGACTCCAACTGGCACTCTGCAGAATCACCTCCTCTGAGTTGGCTGCAGGGTTCTGTACCTCCATGGCTATTTCTGCTCTGACTCCTGGAGAGAACAGAACCCCACTGATGCAACCTATTCTCTTTCCTTTGTATTGGTTTTGTTCCAGGATAGCAAATATCAAACTTGTGGAATATTCCCATATGTACAAAATCCCATCACAGCTCAAGCAACTTGAAAATGCAGAAAACTGCTGATAACTTGGTTATCACTGCAGTATGGCTGTGTGTAAGACTTTCTGCCTCCTGTGTCCAAAGGCCTTGGTTGGCTTTGGGGCTGCCAGGGAGGAGGCAGATGGTCAAGCCCAAGGTGGCAACAGAAAGAAGGCAGAGGAGAAAGTTTGAAAGAATCACCTGGGCTCTGCACACTGCAGTTGCAGCAGGAAGAAATATTCTGTGCTGCTTTTTCCCAGCCCAGAAGCAATCTTCAGAAGCAGTCTTCTGGACTGGGAAAAAGAAAGAAAAAACATCAGGCACTTTTCTCTCCCTCTGCAAGCCCTACCTGTTGGATTTCCTTCTCCCTTCAAACTCAGCACTTGTAGCAGGAGAAGTAGCAGTAAACAACCTCCCTTGCTGCAAGTGCTGAGCTTGAAAGGAGAAGGAAAATGGTGTATGTGTGTGTAGCTTTCTGTATAAGATCTGATTTTTCTTGCTGGAAAAGAGGAGCAAGGAACTTCCTCTCTGGCTACAAGGGTTGTTTCTTCCATGCTCACAATAACTAATTGCTGTTCAGGAGGTAATGTGCGCTACTTTCCATGCAAGCACCACTTTTATTTGCCTTGCCCTAGAGCAGGTTTTTTCAACCGTGGCAACTTTAAGATGGGTGGACTTCAACTCCCAGAATTCCCCAGCCA